AAACCTCTATATACCTCTCACATTAAAGGGTAAATAGATTTTTAGGTACTTCACAGTCTGTTCTTCTTCCTTTGAAAACTTTATTGTGATTGATATCAAAGGTGTTGCTTGACTTTTCTTGACCACTAGAAGTCAAGTTTTTGAGTGAAGAGATTTGTAAACAATAGGAGAGGAGTAGAAGTGACTCTTGAAGTCATACTTCAAGTTGTTTTAAGGAAAGTATTAAAACATTATTAGCAAGGAAATATAAAAACTTCTTATGAACATTTTCTTTGTGTATGGTCAAAAAATCAGTGAAAAGAGTTTTTTGTAGCATGACATCAATTATCTTATACAAACTATATATTTCTATATACATGCAGATTAATAATAACCTATTGCAGTTTGTCCTAGTTAAACCAGCTACTACACCTTGAGTATATAGACCTAACTAGGGGCTGAATGATTAATACACAATTATCAATGGTATGACTAATCTAGTTAATATTGAGCTTGTTAATTTGTATTTGTTATTGTTTCACTAAGTTAGTTCTTTTTATAGATATCTGACAGGATTTTTTATATCCTTCAATATTCCCAGATATTATTCACTTAGACCTTGAAAAAGTATATATTACTTTCTTTATTACCACTTGTGATATCGTATCAATTCTTATTAATTGATTTTCAATTAAATGGAACATCAGATTGGGATATCCTGAGCTAGAAGAATGGGATTCTAGATATTATCAGGGTAGGGGGTCTTGGGAGTATTTATGGTAGGCTAGACCAAAAACTTTTCTTCATACAATCCTTCTGATAATATAATCATAAATCTCAGCCCCTATTTATGGAAGGCCAAAAGTTCCATCATCCTGCAGCCTAATTTGATTGGATCTTGTTTTGGATAATTGGATATAACTTTTACAGAATAACCGATTAAACCTGATCAAAAGATAATTTTTGATTTTTGGTCCTTAAGTAGTATTGAACTATAGATCTTGTAATTGTGATCTGAGAGTATTATCACTATGCTATTGATTTGTAGGTTTTAATAAAAAAACTTTTTTTATTTATATTTTAACAATATATATAAAAAATATTTATGTAAAAGTTTTTTGATATAGATTGGTAGTCCACAATATTAATAAATAAATTAAGTACTACATATTCATTGGGGTCAAAAGAGGTTAAGATACAAATAAAGAATTGAAAAGTCGAACTAAGTAAACAGGCTATACAATCAGAGAAGCATATAACAGATTTAATAAAGAGTCTTAGATACAACTTAAAAGCAATACAAAGCAATTCACTTTCTTCATTGATGAATTTTACAAGCAATGTATAAAAAGCGAGGATGAACTTGAAATGTGTCTTACATGGATTCAAATTGAAAACAATAAAATAATCAATCAATTCTTAACAGGAGCAACATCATGGCCATCAGTTACAAAAGCAGAAATCCTAACCATATTTACTGCAATCTTCACAATACCTAAAAATGGAAAAGCAACCATATATACAGATTGTAGTGCAGCCATCAAGATATGGAGAACAATCCAGTCACAAAAGTTTATTTCTATAAGGAAATAGACTAAAATAATTAACTGGCCACTATGGAACCGAATCAAGGACCTAGTACAAAAAAAAAACCTTTGCCTCATATTTGAAAAGATCAAGATCTATTAAAACAATAAGTTCAACAATATAGTAGACAGGTTAGCAAAACAGGCCAAAAGAGAAAATCCTTTGACTTGGTAACAAAAATCTAATTTGGGTCAAATTCTCATAATAGTAGCCTGGAAAGAACATACTATTGATATCAGTATTAGAGATTTTCTTAAAAAATGGAACATTAAGAAAATAGGACTAGCCTGGATGGAGCAAAAATATGTCCAAGACTGATGGACCCACCCTAGTAAAAAAATTGTCTGACAAATTTTCTGGAGACAATTCAATTCATATAATACCTTTTATACCTCCTTTAGCATTAACAAAGACAAGAGTTTTCTGATAAACCTAATCCATGATAAGCTTTCTATTTTCCAAGTGATACAGAAAAGAAAACCAGACTTATATTCAAGTATAAATATGTTCAATATATAATTTACAAAAGGAAATTTTGAAATATCTTTTTGAATATCTCAAGATTCAAAATAAAAGATCAGTTATATAGAACAAACCTCAAAGTAAAATTCTTCAGTATATCAGGAAAACAAAAGATCTATCTGATAAAAGCCAGGCAGAAGTTAAAAGAGTAACAAAAAAATGGATCCAGGATATAAAACAATAGAATGAAAGCCTATATAACATAGTCTGTGGCTTTATACATAAAGACAAAATCAAGATCCTGAAAAAGCACCTCAAAATCCTTAAGATCCCAATAACAACAATACAAGAGACTATTGATAAATTTTATAAAAAAATGAGGAAGACCTTTAAGAAAGAAGTCTGAAACAAACATTGTAGCATTACTATCGAATGGAAACAAAATCACAGAATTATCAGCAAACTCAAAAGACTTGGAGTATCAACTGATACAACTAGAAAAATAGATTGAGTTCTTAAGGAAGCCAATCACTTCTCTATTTGTTCATTCAGAAATATAACAGAAGAAAAAAAAGACTTAGAATGAATGAAGTCCCAAGGTAATATAATAGATATAATAAATAGTTGAATATCCAAAGGTTTTAAATAGTTTGATTTTTAATCATAGTTAGAACTTCGAGCTGTAAACAATGATTTAAGTGGTTAGATGATAATCCAAGCCATAAAGGGAGCAAAATATCATCCACTAAGTTGCATCTAGAGAAGGTTAAACTTTGTAGATAGGTGAGTCAATATGTGAAAGTCATAAAATATGTAAATATCAAATATGTTTACAATAAAATGGACAAGCCATATTGGCCTGACTGTGGGTTAAAAAAAAAAAAAGTAAAGTTTTTGGATTTTTTAAATAATAAAATCTTATTGCTATTTTTAAGCATTATCAAGAATTATTATATTTAGTTTTTTTTATTTATAATTTTTATTATTAATATAAAAAAGTTTTTAAAAAAAGAAAAATTTTAATTTTATAGTATCTTGAAGATCTTTCCATCTTTAAAGTAAGTCATTATAAAGATTTTTTTTTTATTAACTGCTTTAATTTTTTTAAAGCTTTTATTTAATATATAAACACAAGTTAATTATTATATGCCCGTTATCAATATAATCTTTAAATTTTAAAGTTTGCCAAATGCTATTATGGCAGGAATTATAACCTTAATTGTGTTAAATATTTGTTATATGCACACGCAAATAGAGACTAGATTTTGATCAAGTTCTACGAATACAGATAAAACATTGACTCCACTAAACAAGATCGATAAGAATATGTTTATTTCTTCGAAAATCGATATACACGATATTGTGTTTGAAAGAAATAGAATAATACAATTGTAAATAAACTAAACTAGCAAGAATCATGAACGAGACCGAACTTTTTTTTTTTTGCGACGAACAAATAAAATTATTTTACTGCAATATACTCCTTTTACTTGATCTATATAAATATTTACAACAATTTCTGAAAGACCGTAGAAAAAAGCAATAGTAGGACTAAGTAATCGAAATATAAAAGTTAAGTCAATTGGTAAACATAAATATACAATAACGGCAAATTAACATACTTCAAGAAATGAAAAATCCCGTAAAATGGTTATTTCACTAATCAGTTTTAGTATGAACTTCATTCTCGTTAGTGGGCCCCCCTTGACCATTAGCGGTAGATGGGGGATCGTTCGTAACAATGTTTTCTTCAGTAACGTGCTTTTCCTCTTCCACACGAGGTTCAACTGGGTCAACATCCATAGAAGATATCTCCTTGGCAAAATTACCTTCACTGTTTTCAGCGCGATCTTGTTCTTCTTTCTTATTCTCGGGTTCCTTCCCGGTTTTAATGGCTTGACTGTTTTCTTCATATTTGACAGTTTCCTCATTCTGAGGAGATTCACCTTCCGTTTGAGCCATCTTTGGTGAAGCCTCCTCTTCAGTACCTTCAAGGGTTGTTGGTGTATCCAATAAACATTTCCACTTCTTAATCAATTCTTCGCTTCTACCTATAATATTATAGTTATCGGGTTCAATTTTTAGCTCCGCAATTTTCCTCATAACTTTTCCGATCTTGCTCTCCTATTTACATAATTATTTATGAATTTTCGTTCAATTAGAGTCAAAAAGATGAATGAATACGCATATGGATTTAGTAACAAATTACACCTTTAATAATGGAATAGTAATAGGGAAATTTTCGACTTCAGTAAATAATTCATCGACCTTTGACTTGTCCAATTTCTAACAAGAAAGTTAAATTACTTAATTATACACATCAAAAGCACCTGACAAGATTATTATACCTCAAATTCAGGATTTTTTAACACCAATCTTTGGACTTTATGCCTCAAGTGAAGTAGCTTGACAGAAGGTGATTCTTTTTTCAAATTCGAGTGCGTTTGTCAACATAAAATTTAAGATTAACAATTGCTAATGAAATAATTTTTACGTACTTGTTTGACGCTTTGAAGAACGAGATTGACCTTCTGATTCTAATTTATTCGTCTTATTGTTATCATCAGCCGTTATTTGCTTGCTTTCGTCCTCACCTGCAGGAGAACGATTATCAGATTTTCCGGGAGATTTTGAACCTTCGCTCCTAGATA